TAAGTCTCCGTACCCTGTAATTTCACCGATATATCTTTATATTCACACCGTACCACAGCTTATAAAGCAAGCAGCCTTGGTGATATTGCGGTTTAACACACCGTCTTTCTTCCGATTGTAGCGCATTCGTATACTCGCACGATACAAACACTTTTATTAAAAAGCATGAATATATTGATCAGGATGTTTTCAAGTACATTATGTATTTATCTACATAATGTATCTACGACAATTCATCCTTTACGTTTTATAAATACAAGCTTTAGGACAAGATGACGTTATGAAAATTGTATATAACAAAAATAAAAAATATATAATATAACATTAAAATAAAACATACAAACTTTGTACAAAGTCGTCCTCTAGTTAAAGTACAAGTTCTTCTAAAAGAACAATCTATATTAAGATATACCGCCATGTTTCTTTATCAAAAACAACAATTAAAGTTCACTGCTGCTATATTTCAACTTACAGCATGCATACTGTACTTTGTCCGTCATATCGAAAACATAACTTGTATCCAAAACATAAACATGAATGATAGTAAACCGCTCGTAAAGTTCTATTAATAATCTACCAAAGAATTCCTCATTTAAGGAAGTCGTCAAACTATTTTTGATGTAGATAATAGATATAATTTAATAAATATGTACATAATAATTAAATTAACTTCAAAGAATTTACTGCTTCATTTCTATAATATTGCTGTAGACAAAATACAGTGATGTTTCCTAACATATTTTGTTGTTTATATGAGATTATTTATTTCCTGCTACTTCTTCTATTCTTTTGATTAATGAATATAAAACACAATCATAACAATTATGGCTTCTAGTAAGATTTTAAGTGAAAGAATATTTTACATCCACCATGCGTAGTTTTCCTTCTTATCATTGAATATATATCATATACATTTTGAAATAGAACAACTGTAAAGCTATTATGAATTATATTTTTATGCAATTATATGACATACATACATATAGCGCCTTTTTACAATTAGGATAGTTTTTTTTAATTTTTCAATATAATACAGAAATATTGCCAATGCCACTTTAGAAAATAAATAACGGCAAAATTTCTATACGAAATCTGCATGCAAAACCAGGCATTGTTCCGACTTAGTACATTCATAGCGTATAATTTTCATTGAGTATTACATGCCGCGATAAGCCGCTATTACCTCAAGATCGATGGTCCCCGATAATAGATAGTCATGTCACACAAATTGACTCGGGGAGGTTAATTCTGACATCGTGCGACCTGAGATTTCTCGTGCAAAACCGACGTCGCACATTAGTCAATCAAGTTATAAACAACATCAGATAAGAGAGCAATTTGCTAAAGAATAGCTTGAGATAATTTCCGATGATGTGCTGATGACCTGTGCGCGTCAAACAAACGAACTTTAGTAAATGAACTATTTTAAATCGACTTAGGACTGAATAGTGTTCTCATGACAACATGTAGTGTAGTACTTAATATCGATACTATCTATACTAATTAAATGTACCTATCTTCTGTCTTTGCAGGATACAAATAAAGTATAGTCTATTTATCATAGTCTATCTATTATTATAAAGAGACAAACAGAGAGCTAACTTTATATTATGGTGAAAGGACACTCACAAATAATGTGGCTATCTATAGATAAAATAATCTTCAAAATAGAACCCAGAGTTTCTAGTGAATTTTGATTACCCCTTAAACACAAAATTTACCTCTTTGTAAAATTATTATAGAAGTATCTACTGATTCTGTTCTCTTTGGTATCAATGTCTTTAATTCATCTAGTTATAAGTAATAACGTGTGTAAATTTCAAAAAATAAATGAGAGAATATTAGAAATAATTAACAATTATTAGGATGCTAATATATGCGTTATAATTAGGCACCTAAAGCAAAATAAAATATTAATTTTCAACGTTATTAATGAATCACTTAAAATAATGATTTGCCGCTAATTCTCGTAGGAGTGGCAGAAAACTCTGCAATTGGGGAATATAACTCTTATGCTTTCTAACGGACAATCAAAATGTAATTTGGAATCACTTACAAATTGCGTTCATTTATCTTTTGTATACCACGAAATACGTAAACGTCAGTTGGCGTTAGAACGGGGTTAATGTTGCATTCATCTTATTAATGGATTTGTGAAGGTAGATCCATAATGCAAGATCAGACAAAACAACTTTTTTTTCAACAATCGTACATGATAGTAATTTTCTTAAATTGTTGTTGGTTGTGTAATGTTTGGGTATATTATAAACAAATACCACAATGTTCGTAAGATAGAATATCTACATAGAAACCAAACATTCTACCTTATTATTTAATAGATTGAGTATTATTTGTTTAATTCCGTTACCATTAGCATGTGTGACAACCAAAAAGTTAATAATTAAAGTATAAAAATATATATATAACACTTGCACGTAATAAAATGTAATTAACAACCGTCTAGATCACGTTAGCTTTCAAACAAAAACAACCTATCATAATTTTTCCAATCGTTTAGGATATAATATGCCACGTATATGTGTGTCTGTCACACACATATACGTTAAAACTGTCATCTTATTGTATTGGTGGTGTTAAAAATAATAGCTATTGACAATCGATTCTCTCTTTTCAGTAAAATATAGCGTGAATACTATAGTCAATTATCATCCACATGTGTTACATCCAATTCCCAATTTTTTTCTGACTATTCCAATTTAAAAATCAATTCAACTTAAGTGAAAATTTTAGTTGAAAATGTGTTTATTTTTAAGAAAAAAAAAACAAGAATTTAATCATTGATCACGTGATTAAACAAATATACTGAAACAAAGGTAATAATTTAAACACAATATAACCACGTTCCATAAAGTTCTGTAAAACGGAACGCCACAACATAGATCATACTACAAAGAACTCTCACTCACGAGTTGTCGAAGCTAATTAAGGCATCTCTCCATCGCCGGCTGATTTATAACGATCATTAGACCGTGCAAAGAGCGTCACGGCGGCGCCACAGCAATGGATGTGCACTAAGGTGAATAAATCGCTATTGATAGAGTATTATTGGCGCTTAAGGTGTAAGGTTTATGGTTAACTACTCCACTTAATAAAACAGAGGTGGATTAATCGTCATGCAATCTATAGAGTTATATTTATTGATGCTACAAGTATATATGGAATGAAGAAAGTCGGAATATTTTCTGGACAATATATATACATATTACATATCCTGAAAACGTGGGTAAAAAGTGGTTATTAAATAATGGTGCACACCCTTACAACTAAGTCAATATTTAAAAATGTAAACTCTGGACAATTTACACAGCGCCATCTAGTCCCAAGCTAAGCAGAGCTTACGTTATGGGCACTTAACAACTAATAGAAAATACTCAAGAGATATAATAAACAAACATATTCCTGAATATAAATGTTTGCACCGTGCAAGGAATCGAACCCGCGTCCGAAGTAATAATATAACGTTGGGTCGTAAACCGCTAGACCTTCGAGGCCGTCGAATTTAAATAACATGCATAAAACTACACAATTAATAACCGTTAGACGAGTTATACAATAGCGACGAGACGGCGATCTTGTAAATAAATGTTCAGCAGACATGAATGTTCCGGCAGGACAATGGAGTCAGGTTAATCTAATCCATGTAATTAATTAACAGAAATGGCGGCTTGCTGAGTCGAGTTCCTTGATTGGACACCACGTCGATAACAAATATAGTGGTTAGGTAACAAAAAAACCCGTGAATATCGAGGTAGACCGTACACCGAGGGTTCCCAATCAATATTTTGTATTGACACGACGTTATTAAACCTGCAAAAAGACGCTGATATTTGATGTAAATCGAATTTCTTGGTTCACAACAAATAATAACCGTATTCAAATCAAAAAATATATAGTTTATGTGTAAATATCTAATTTGTTTAGATATAAAAAAGTTATTACAATTGGACCGCTATATATATAGCTTATTTATGAAGATATTTTAAAGGTTTCCCTAAAACTCTGTTGCATAAAAATTATGCTTTCTTATTTTCTCTTTAAGTGTTACTATTGTACTACATTATTGTCATCAGTTCATCACATTATGAACCATGCAAATCATCTATTCTCTATAACTGAAAATAATTTGAAGTTAGATCGAATCTGATATCATACAAAAATTGTAAATTAAAACTTTTTGATTGATTCCCTGCAGACAGAAAACAGCAAACACAAACCAAGTTAATCCGAGACGGTGGGACCTTTAAGCCCTGTCAAGTTGAATACACCATCTGGGGCAATAGTCGTGAACTACTATTGAATTTAAAATCGTACTTGAAATAGTGTAAGTAGTTTCCATTTGCATACAGCGTCATCTAGCCAATTTGAGTGAAACTACTAAGTTACAAAAGGTCAATTACAACTATTGAGCACTAGATGGCGTTGTACATGAAAAAATATTCTGTAGTTTTTATTGGTTACACTTATTATAGTGCAATCAAAAAATAAATATTTAATACGTAATTTTATTCAAACACAGATAAATGTTGCTAAAGAAATATTTGATAAGAATATTATTTAAATAGCCGTGGCCACAACGACAAAGAAGGATCTGTTTTGATGCATTTTGGGTATTATGAATAATTAGTAATTAAAGCTGCATTGATATTTGTTATAAAAAAAGTTTTAATTTTATTAGCCATTTCTATCAGAAAATACTTGCAAGTGTAGAGATACTAGAAGTTTAAAATAGCAAAATATAAATGATACAATGTAGCTTTTCTTTCAAACTTGACTAATTGTTCATCACAAATTCTGACATGAATTTCATATCACGAATAATTATGATTACAAATTTATATCTTTAACTATATAAATGCAGATTAATTAATGGATTTATATTATGTTATTTCATTCGGCTACCATTAGTATGGATAAAATCACATTCTCAATATTTGTAGTGATAATAAAATATATAACTGAATATATGTAAAATAATTTACCTGATGTTCCCGCAGTTTCCGCATGAGCTCGTGGTACGTAGCGGCCCTGGCTGCAGCGATCGAGGGTGGTGGTAGCCGACCTTCCATGCAGTGCAGCCAACGGCGAAGGCAGCGCAGCTCGTGGGCAGTATCTGTACAAAATAAAAAAATGAAGCTTACAAAGCAAGCTAGGCTTCCGCAATAGGCGAGACGACTTCTTACAAAGTCTACTTAAACTATTTATTTGAGGTAGAAAGTATAGAAGCTCATATTTTTTTAATAGACGAAGATGGGATCGTCCTCTCAACTAAGCTGAGCTAACGGTATAAACTGGTGAGGTACATTTGGAAAATGATAGGATTAGGATATAATCAGTGAGGTCAATGTGATCATATAGTGAAATAGGAATTACTTACAATGGTTACCGAGAAAGAAAGCGTGGATTATCAATCAACATCACATATTGCTTGAGGTGGGGTAGTCTACATTACAGCAATTTCAAATGAATTGACTTTGGGTAACTAGACATAAAGTTAGTCACTGGTAATTTTGTCATGAGATAAATAAAAACAGTATTATTAAAACAATTTGATGGAATGAAACAACTTCGATTGTTAAAAGTTAACGTCATTTATCACTATGGATTTGAAATTGTTGATATTGTTAAAGTACTTATTTATACAGGAATTAAAGCAAAGCCACAATTTAGTTTCTAATACTTCCACTAGATAACATATTAACAAAATATGAGTCAGGAAATGGATTTTTCATATTTCATCCCAATGGATTCAAAGTCAAATACAATAGAAATCTAAATAATACCTATACATAATAAACATATAATACATAACCTATATTTTTTTATATATAACTTTAATAAATAAAATTAAAAAATATATACTAACCGACTGTATCGGCGCCATCTCCATCCTTCTGCTGCTGTTCAGGACTGAGCAACAACCGAAGGCCATCCCATTTCACTTTTAAATGTTCCATTCGCCATGTGACCTGCGAATTAATTAATTACATTTTTTTTATTAATAAATGGACAAGCGTCATCTGCATCATAAGCTAAACAGACCTTGTTTGGTACTAGATGGGTACTAGACAACTACTGCAAATACTTAAATTCATTTTTTGTAAATACAATCATATTCATGAATAAATATATAACCGTGCAAGGAATCGAACCTGCTGCCATGGAAAGTAAAGCAGTGTGGCAAGACACCAAATCACCAAAGCCGTTAAATAAAATTGCAAGGAATAATTAACTGACGACTATTATTCCAAATGGGTAGTCAGAGGCGTTAAACATCATCGATGTTGTAGTGAACGCAACATTGGACAGGCCCACATGACGCTGGGTATATTTGAAACCAACCTTGCAGGGTCAAGACTACTGCGCTTCTCGGATTAATTTATGATTTGATGTCGATTTGCATCACCGGAAAGTCGTTCAGAAATGTAATCTGAATTCATGACCTCTTGGGCGTAATTCAGTGCAGATAAAAACGTATTGATAATCTCTAGAAGTTCTCGACAATTGATTTTTTACATAATGTGAAAGAAGCTGACGGCATATGGCAATGAAATTACAGGATCGACTCATGACATTTTACTCCATAAATGGCCACGCATAACTGTTTTCACGAGTATGTCATGATCACCTGATATTCGTGTTTCTGTTCAGTTCATGTATATAAACGACAATATAAACAAACTGACATCTTACCTGTTGAAAGAAGTATTTCATCAAGTGAGCTATCAGTTTGTTTGCCATTTTAAGTATATGTAATAAAATATGCATTCAGTAGTATAAACATCTTACGATAATTGAGGTCTCGATTCTTCCTACGGTAAAACATTTGTATCGTATGATTGTTTGTATCAGTCTGGTTGTTTTTTATAAATATTAGATATGTATTTATAAAGAAATGTATTCAATTATTTCGATCAATTGTGTAGTACCCATAACATAGCTCTGCTTAGCTTGGGACTATATAGCGATGTCTGAATTGTCCAGAGATATAAAAAATTTAAGTATTTTAATGCAATGATAGTTTACCTCTGCACTAGCTTCAGGTATACGTTCCAATATGGCAGCACCTTGTTCCATAAACTTCGCCCGACGTGGCTCCACAGCCCCCAACTCCGCCATGCGGCTCTGAAAATGTAAATACATATACTTTTTAGTATATATAAAAACTTCTTAGATACTATTTTATTTATATGCTACCTTACCTCGTTGCTTGTTTATTATTGTGTTATGTTTTATCTTTTTATAAATAATTGTTTATGTCTATATGTATATATGAGAGGAACAATAAAGTTTTATTCATTCATTATTCTATTCATTTATTTACTTAAATAAAAGGTTAAATGTAGGATCTATAATTAAATTCATTTAATTCAATTAATTAACTGTAATTTACAAATATATAAATAACTAATATGTTACACACAAATACCTATTTTATGTGGATAGTGATATGAACGTTATATCTTAATCTTAACAATAAACGCGAAAGTTTGTGAGTATGAATGTTTGTTACTCTTTCACGTATTGAACGGATTTTGATGAAACTTTATAGTAATATATACTTTATGCATCAGAATAACATATAGGCTATATTTTTAGTAAAATTTAATACTTCCACCGCTGCGGGCATAGATAGCACATGCATAGACGTAAGGACCAAACTTTACTTAATATTGACTTTTATTTGTTGCGTGTTAGAATTGACTATAGTCTGTTTTTAATTTCGGAGACTAAATTGCTGTCAATTTAGTCTCCGACTCGACTCACACCTGTGTGTAAATGTCAAAATTTCAAACAATGTTACCATCTGCAGCACTGTAGTATATTTGGGATACTGATTTGTTGAATCGTAATTATTTATTTTAAACTATTAGGTTTATACGATTTCACAATTTTTTAATATACCTACGAACTCTAGTGTTTTGTACAGGTGGGTGAAATTGGCCACTGTGAATAAATATTTTTTCATATTCAAACTAACCATTCTCAACTTCCTGCTTGACAGGTTTTCCGGACTAGAATAGATCTCCTCCTGAACGTGTGTGAGCCACTGGCACAGCTCCTTAAACTCGGCTATCAGCTGGTTGAGAGACCACTGACGATTAAACCCAGCTGTGGGGTTCAGTAAGCAAGGCCCGTTGTGCAAAGCAGATGAATTGTGTGACAACAATTCGCCGTTTGCTTCCTGCAAATAAATAAAATAATTCAAATGTGAATAAGTGCAAGTAATTATAGTTTGAGAAGACATACGAATAAGGTTAACTTCCACACTTTAGAATTTCGTCTGCGTTACATTTTCCCCGTTTTAGAAATATTTTTTTAACAATAGCATGTACCTTGCAAGAGTCTATGATTTGGTTGTCCATGATGTAGTCGTAGTGATGCTGTAACAGTGGCCACAAATCGTCTCCGGCGCTGCCGCCACTCGCCGCCGAGCCCCAACTCCTGCGCCACACTTCGCGACATGGCTCCTTTCTGTAACGTGCAGATTTAAACTTTATACACTTCCTAAGTTTTATAAAATACTTAAATTTTTTGCACTTCATAAATTTTATGAAATTCCTTTTCTATAACTAGAATGATAGGTATATGAAGATGTCTGTGGCCGGTTTAACACGCTGTCTTACTTCCGATGATGCGGGTTTGATTCGTCGCCCACAAACATCTGTAGGTTTTAATGTGTATGATTGTTTGTATTGGTATGGGAATGTATTTAAAAAATATTAAAGTATGATATTTATACCGGTTATCCAGTACCCATTATGGGCATGTTATGCGGAGTAACGAGAATTACGTGTATAATATGAACGTGGATGGATGTAAAGGGAGAGGACGCCCTAAAAAGATATGGATTGATTGTGTGAAAGATGATATGAATAAAAGAAGAGTATGATCAGATATGACAACCGATAGTGAGCAGTGGAAGAGAATGACATACTGCGCCAACCCCAAATAATGGGATAAAGGCTAGGCAATGAAGATATCCAGCACCCGTAACACAATGCTTAGCTTGGGACTAGATGGCTCTGTGTGGATTGTCCAGAGTTTCTATTTTCTATTAATATATCCTATGATGATTCGATAACATTGAAAATCAAATGGCAACTATCAGAGTTAAATCGATTAGTCCGGAACATAGATATATGCTAATAAAATGATACATTTTAAATTGAGGTAAAAGGTAACACGACATTAATTATTATTCGGTATCAGTTAATTTACCATAAAATTACTAGATTAACTATATTAATGTGTATAAACGTGACAATTTAAAAGACAATAGTTTCTTACCTTTTCTTAGTGAGGCTGTGATACGGTCGCTCGTGTTGCTCTGGGCAGCCGCCAGGTGGCGCGGGCGCACTTCTCAATGAAGACAACGAGAAGCTGCTCTTCATAGCCGAGTGTTCGAAACCTGGAATGTATCGTCAAATATAATGTTAAAAAATGTTAATGTAGTAATAAAAAATAATATAATATCCCAGGACAATTCACACAGCACCATCTAATTCCAAATTAAGCAGAGCTTGTGTTGTACCAGAGACAGTAGATATGAATACATTTAATTGTAAGTTTAAACATAATATACATAGAAAACACTCAAATCAATACAAACAATACTACGATAAAATTCAAATGAGAAAACAGTAGTACACGGAAACTCAGAAAATGTTTGTTGTGAAGTCTAGGTTGTAAACAAAAATTATCTGCTTGGGTGCCTTAGCTCATCTACTTCAGCCGCTAAGCAGATTGCAAGATGTGTTTCGGTTGAAGGATGAGATAAGGATCAATCAAATTACAGGATACAAGGCATGATATTTTACTCTTCAGAATAAGGCAATACATGAGTGGTTTTCTTTAATGAATGATAAAAGAATGGTGCAACCACCTGCGCTAACCGTTTACGCTGGTGATGATGAACATGAGATGAGGTCAGTTAACTCATCCTGACAAATTCACCAATTTATCATGATGTCTTCCAGGGTGAACCGCGTGAAAGTAATTCCTACTTTGTTAGCATTAAGGTCATGAGTCCACATTACTAACAGTCCTCTTTCACTCCAAAGCATGAGTCACTTGATAATGCGATGTCCATAATGCTGTTCATGGACATAATAATAATAGTAAAAAAAAAACTAATTGCAAAAAGTTATTTAAATAAGTATACTCACTTGTAGACATCTTGGTTTCTGTACACTTCAATGTCTAGGAACTTCTAATGAAATCGATTTAGTTATAAATCGATGATAGCGTCCCAATCAGTCGTTTGTACTGTCTCATCAATTCCTTAATCTTTGTACTACTTCAAAAAATGTGACAATCTCAACTTTATTCACTTATGTGTTATATGCTAAATTGCTTCGTGTTTAAAAGTGCTATGGCGACTAGATTCGTTTATATTAAAGTTATAAGTACAATAAATAGTGTCTTAATCATGTAATCTTGAGGAAAGACCCATGAATTTGAAGCGCGCTTGTGTTTTGGTCGCTGCGTCGGTGGTCACATTTTGGTGTTCGATTCCGTTTGCCCTGTCTGTTCGTGCGGTGATCTGTGCCGAATGCGTCCTGGAAAGATAAATAATGAACTATTAATAACAATGTAGGCAGAACAAAATAAAACTTAGAGTTAGCCTTTGTAAAAAGTTTGCGGTGGTACCTCAGTTTCACCTATTGCAGCAGCTAAGCAGCTTGCTTTGTAAGATTGAGAAGGTGGCCAGTCAGCTGGTTTGCCATTCCAATTAGGTAGTAAAAAGATAACAATAATATAATTGAAGTGAAATCTTATATCTATAAAGCAAAATGCTAATAACAATGTTAAGTTGAATTTTAAAAAAACTATAAGTAATAATAATTTAAAAATAATATTATTAGTGATCACATTATTAGTGACATAACTATTGTTTTAAATAAACTACTAGTCACTATAGGAAAACAATATTTCAGTTGAAATAACAATTCATATTATTCTATTTATAATATTTCCTTATTTTTATCATAAATTATACATACAAATATTCATGTGCAAGTTTGGATTATGGTAGATATACGATAGTATCAGTTCCTTGTAATACGCCAGTTGGTTTAAATAGAGTATTCTTGTTTATTATACTAGATTTGAATACCTAGAACCTAAGTAAAAAACACAGGATTCCACGAATTTTAGAACTACCAGATTTCGCATGGGTAACGGCGTGGGAAACTGGTGTACGTAAATAATCACATCATTGGGCTATTTTAAAACTAATAGAATCCGGATGCAGTTCAGATTTCAAGATAATACTGGATATTAATACCTATCCTCTATCTTAAACGTTGATCGGAAGAAATTCCTTATTAGCGACAAACCCACTTTTCGTAAGTTTTTACTTGGAAATAAATTAGTAAAGTTTATTTAATATATAATTGAGATGTGTGAGCAATAAACAAAAATCAAAGAAAACGTTCTCCTCATTTCGTGATTACCTTAATGGATTAGTAGTTTAGCACGTCACCTTACTACCGATGGTCTCGGGTTGAAATCCGCGCACCGTACAAACATTCGTGAGCCGTACAAACATATGTTTCGTGAGCAAATTAATAATTTAAACCAATAGTATTGTAGCAGCATACTTTCTACAAGTGTCACACGTGTCTGAATGTTTTCTATATATATTATGTGTATTTGTAAAAAAAATAAAGTTTCCCTATTAGTTATTTAGTATCCATAACATAGCTCTGCATAGCTTGAGATTAGTTCTTTAGTATGTTACTAGCTGCCCCGGGAAATATTATTTTGCCCATTCCGTAAGGAACTCGAAATAAAATCTTTTGAGTTTCACTTCGAGTAGTTAAAATGTCTATATTTTAAGTTGAATCAAATTACACACATCATTATTCTTCCTTTGGCGTCGGCGTAGTATGTTTTCTTCCATTCATAAAAAAACATGACACACATTATAGTTAATTAAAAAAATGTTAGGTAGTTTCCAACTTATCCCCGACAAATTCGTGACTCTATATTTTTAAATATGAATACATATGTATATAGGGAACTATGAGAAAATAACTCATGAATAAAAACTATAAACTACGACTACAATTTAACTATTATTTTGCCACTTTATTTCAATTATAAACATAACTATAAAGTATTGGACAATACTTTTCAATAACTAAAATAGGTTTATATTATATATATATATAAAACGTGTAGTTTTAGGGACATATGTATGTATATTTATGAACGAATAATCAATTTATCTACTTATCATTTTCTATCGGAATCGTATTACTGTAAATGTTTTGTAATGCTTCATGAATACCCTAGCTGCGGATTATGTTAACATTGGATATAACCGTTATTTTATTGCCAGTAATAAAATACCTCAGCAACCCAAATACTATTCATGTTTACCTATAAATATTAGCATTTACATCTCCGTAGGCTTGGTCAACTCAATGCATTATTACAGACTCCAGTATTTATGATATGTAATACACAAGTGACAAGAAATATTATCACGATACATACTAGAAAGACCCAATGTATATTTTATGTATTGATACATATATGTACCTACATAATAATAATATATTTGAATTTTGTAGAAAATAACTACTGTATATTGTGACTTGCCTCATATGTTCAAGAAGTTTCTACATTTGCCAATAAACAAAATGTAAATAAATAACCCTAGACAATCAACACAGCGCCACCTAGTCTCACGGTAAGCAGTGATTGTGTTATGTGTACACATCTGCTATCAATACTGAAATAATAATAATAGATTTTCAGAAATATTATTTATTGTGTATGCATTTAATTCATGTAATTTTATTTATTAATATAATTGTAATTACATTGAAGTTTGGAAAATATCATTACTGTATATTATGACTTACCGTATCTATATGTTTAAGAATTTTTTACATTTGTCTATAAACAAAATATAATAATAAAAAAAGGGATACTTATCTCCATATAATATAAATATAAACTATATGTATAGTATGAACATTGGTTTATTTTAGCGATTTCTTAGAAGGCTATATTTCTTGTAAGAAATCCACATCGCCCACATCCGAAATCGGAGAAGTCTCATTATTTTGCTGGTCCAGATTTTATGGCGTAATTCAAAATCAGCTTGTCAGTCATATTTTGAAACATTTTTGGAAAATCTTCTCTACATATAAATAAAATCGTAAGGTGGCGAAAACAGTATGTCTGTTTGTGTGTTAACGTTACATCTCTGGAAGAATAACGAGATTTCCACATACGCACAAAACATATACACATACTTAAACATGGATTTGTTTGTGTGAAAAAATTTTTAACTCTCTATTATACTATATATTCTATATACTATATATTTTTAACTCTTCAATATTAACATATAGACTACAGAAAGTTGAGAAATTCACTCAAACGGGGACGAAATAATTATGTTAAAAATTTTTAGGCACCACCTACAATATTATTAATTTATTCATTAATCATTCATTTTGAATGGCAATTAAAAATTTTTAGGCACCACCTACAATATTATTAATTTATTCATTAATCAAATAATAAATGCTTTATTTATTGTATACTATATTATTGTTCCAGCATTGATAAAAGGCGATCTACAAACGTACCCGCGTACGAAGTCGCAGCCACTAGTAGTACATAAATAATAGTATCCCGTTTGATGTCAGCCTCTAATTAGGAAACTAGCTGTAACAGTTATTAAAATTGAATGTGTACACTCGTGTATTGAAACGTCTACGTAGAATTGCATTTGTGAAATCCGTATTTAAAATAATAATATATACGAGGCGATACGATAATATTACTATACGATTAGTAGAGCCAGATAAAAAAATTCGTGAAATGTTTACCTTTTTTTCTTACTAAAATAGTAAACATCCAAACAATATTTTATAGAGTTAAAATAAAAACAAAATCAACTACTAACTGCTAACCGCGATATCAACTGGTTTTTATTGATAGCCTACATCCTCGTGATATGATCTAACCTCAAGTGAAATTTCATAAAAATCAGTTCAGCAATTTAGTTCTGAATCATAATAGACAAACAGAAGCGCTTTCGCATTAATTATTTTAGAATAGATTAAAAATCAAACTACCCATTTAAAAATATGGGGAAAGAGATTGTTAATAATGTGGAATAATGTCAGGTTGATATCAACGAGGTTTCCCTAGAAACCGTCTTAATAAATTCCTGGTGAATTTGCCAAATTGGCTAATTGACTTGACGCTCATTGTATAATCCTCCGCTGGTGTCCCGCCAGCGTAAACCGTTAGCGCAAGCGGGTACATCATTCCATTATAATCAACTAGCTACTCACCCCGGCTCCGCACGGGTGTACATATAAACCTTCCTCTAGAACAACTCTACGTATTAAAAAAACCGCTTCAAAATCCGTTGCGCAGTTTTAAAGATTTAAGCATACATAGGGACGAACAGACAGTGACAGCTACTTTATTTTATACTATGTAATGATTTAAAAATATGATTAAAAAAAAAACAATATACATAAATATATAGTATATATAGTACCTATATTGAATGTACTGATGATTAATTCGTGTGAAAAACACACATGTTAAATTAATTTCAAGCATACTTATGTATCGCTGAGTTATGCTTTTGTTACGTCACCCTCACCTCTATGGTGATGCAAATAAGGGCCATAATTGTATAGATCATCGACCATTAACCTTTAGAGTAACAACCTGTAATCTCTGTCTCTAATGACGGATGTTTGGCTCAAAGCGCCCTATTAATCTTCCACCTCTTATTATCAGCGAACAGATCTGTTATCTATATTGTTCGCTGCTGATACAAAACCATCAGTCACCAACTTTCACCTACTTGAGATGTCAATATTATGAGACAAAATAGTTTCGCGCCTAAAAAGTTCAAAACCTTAAACTTATCATAAAAGATAATTATCAACCGAATGCCAAAAGTATGAAGTTCTATAATCGATTGAATTCTTTAAGAATGTTACCGAATATCTTAGTCAAAACTTAACATATTTGTGGTTTCGTTTTGTAAAGAGTTATTATAGTTCCCTGTTGGTTAAAAAAATATTGACATGATTAGTAGTGGGGTTATTTTTTTGGGATCAGTGGAACTAATGCACTTCCTTGTATTCAAACAAGTCCCTCTAAAATAAATATAGAACGAATAATGAACAATATTTTTTCACTGCACTCTTCAACCAAAACATAGCTTACCCTTTAACCGAACCACAGACTAAAAGAGAGGGAAGAGGATTATTAGTAAAGTAGACTAATACTCCCATTGCATAACAATATACCCTTGTATATGATGTTCACCTCTATACGGTTCCTCTGGAATATATATATATCCTCATATTATAATAAATGCCTCTAGGTGTTAAGTTCTCCATGTTCTCCTTTATTTGTGTATTAAAGTTTTAATAAATAAATAAATATATGGTACATTTGCCACGATGGGCTAACTGACCTGACCTCATGCTCATCTTATCATCCTCCACTAGTGCCCCGCCAGCGTAAACCGTTAACGCAGGCGGTTGCCGCACACGTGTCTCCA